CTGTGTGACTTAGGTGAGACCCCTGTAAACTCTGATTTCTTCATCCATAAAATAGGGTTGCTAACCCCTGCCTCAGTTGGTTGTTGGAAGGACTAAATGCGATAGTCAAATGAAATCATAATAAAATGCCTTTGTGTATAAAATAGTGTGTACTAATCATGATTTTTATCGTCAGTGTGACTATGTTTTCAAACTTACAAATTGTTCATAAAAATGAAAGATTATTATATTTAGCATGATATGACTTCACTGGTAACAGGATAAATATTAAAAGAAAAATGTAAGTAGGAAAAATAGAATGGAGGTGGTAAAGCATGTGGTCTGTCTTTATAATGGAGGGACTTTATAGATGAGGATGTATGGGGACTCAGGGTCTCACCAAATTAACTCATGTTGGCTTAGTTAAAAGATGGTCATATGGATCTTTTTTAAGGATGAAAAATACTATCCATGATCAATGGCCTCATGTCAGGTTAGGATAAGGTATCTGGTGAGTGACAGAATCAGCGATAATTCAGTTCTTATCTCACATCTCCAGAGCCATTGAAAGTGAGAGTAAATTGGTACGTTAATGAAATCTGTAAAGACACTCAGCGAACCTCCAGGGAGCCTCTCTCAAGCTGGAGAAACTCCACCCCAGAAGATAAGAAGTCATGCAAAAGAGCCGCAAGTTTCATTCACTTGTTCAAAAATATTTCATCCCTACTCCAGGCTGAGCACCTTGTTAGGCACTGAGGATTTAGGGATGAAAGACACGATCCCTTTCCTCACCAAGCTCACAGCCCAGTGAGCGGGAGAGTGAGTAAGTCACTACAATTCAGTGAGGTAGTCATATATAAGTTTGGGATACAAGAGAGTCTGGAGTTGGGGCTTCTAGCCCAGCCCAGGGATCAGAAAAGTTTCCCCAGAGGAAACAACACCTGAGCAGGTTCTGCAAAGACCCAGCGTGGTTAATCTGACAGGGGAAGAGGGTGGGTTGTTCTAAGAGGAAGGAGCACCACCAAAGTGGAACTGCAGGTCGTTTAATTTGGTCCTATGGGGCAAAGAGGCAGCCCTGTAAAAGGACCCGGGTTCCTTTGTGGTGTTGGCTCATGTCACGGTCCTCCCACATTACAGTAATTGTCCTTTTTTTTCTTAAAGATTATTTATTTATTTATTTGAGAGAGAGAATGAGAGACAGAGAGCACCAGAGGGAAGAGGGTCAGAGGGAGACGCAGACCCCCTGCCGAGCAGGGAGCCCGATGTGGGACTCGATCCCGGGACTCCAGGATCATGACCTGAGCCGAAGGCAGTCGCCCAACCAACTGAGCCACCCAGGTGCCAAATCTCTTGCCTGAGGGGCACCTTGGTGGCTCAGTCAGTTAAGCATCTGCCCCTTGGTTTTAAGCTCAGGTCATGATCTCAGGGTCGTGAGATCGAGATCCCTGCCCTGCGTCAGGCTCCACGCTCAGTGGGCAGTCTGCTTGTCCCTCTCCTCCTGCCCCTGCTTTCTCTCTCAAATAAATAAATAAAATCTTTAAAATCTCTTGCTTGAAAAAAGCACATGATGCCCCCCTCCTCCCAAAAAATCTATTAGGGATTTTATAACACTTAAAATGAACTTGTGTCTTGTTAATCCCAACAGTGTCTACTGGTAGTTACATTTGAAAAATATTTGCTATACTTTTAAATGAACTCGCATACTTCATTCCCAACAGTATCTACTTACACTGTCACTTAATAAATATTCATTTCATTTATGTGCAAGACTTAACTAGCTTTTCATTGTGAAACAATCTTTGTTCGTGCATATATTGATGATGACCTGACAAGAACGGCCAGTTCAGCCCATGCCCGCCCCCAGAGGCCGGTGAACCACAGTTAGCACTGGAATCAGGGGTACTGGCAGGCCCCAGGCCTGGAGAGCTGGCCAGAGCGGGGCTTCACTGTCCCCGTGAAAGTGGAAGGCATGGGGAGATGCTGAAGTGTTTAAAGCAGTGACAGCGACTGATTGCTCCGTCAGCAATGTGGCAAGCAGCAGGAGGAAGGCAAGGCAGGGGGCGAAGAGATCGGTTACATGGCAAGTTCTGAACTAAAATAGTAGCAATGAATGGAGAGAAAGAAGCAGATATGAAAAATATTAAAAGGTAGAATTGATTGGACTTAGTGACCCCCGATGTGGGAATTGGGGGCAAAGCCCCAGATGACCAGCTTTCTGGCTTAGGTCATTGCATAGATGGTGGTACCAAAACAAAAAACGCAGAGAAAGGGACAGGGTCTGAGGAGGTGATTTTGACTTGGAACATAGCGACTCTGTAGTTTCAATGGGACAGCCAAGTGGAGATAACATTAGTTAGAAGAAGGATCTAGGCTAGGTTTGGGGAGTGTTGACATGGATAGCAATCAAAGTCTTGGGTGTGGGTAATAGCACTCAGCAGGAGTATGGAGTGTGGGAAAAGAGGGTCAAAGACAAAGCGCCAAGAATCCCACCATCTGAGAGGCAGGTAGAAGTGCACAGTCCCCCTCAAGAGGCAACCACACGCATAGATGAAGGAGAAGGAGAGTGAGGGCAAGAGAGAGACAGTGAGAGACAGAGGTACCATGAGAGCCAAGGGAGGAGAGGGCTCTACGAAGGAGCCGTGAACCTCGTCAGTCCCAAGAGCAGGCAAGTACAAGGACCAATAAGTTTACCCGTAGCTTTGGTGAAAAGAATAACAAAACACCATTCCCTACTTACAGGACTCGCTACACTGTTAGAGGGCCTCATACTCTGTACTTCACGTCTCTGGCCCTGCAGCCTATAGCAATTGCACAGACGAAAAAGCCTCCAGAAGTGGGGTGACTGTCTAGCGAGACAGTGACCGGGCTCCTGGAATTAAAGATCGGTCCAGAATCTCAACCATGCTCCCTGGTTCCATCCACACTTGGGTTAGCTTTTGACAAATAACCAAAAAGGAAATCCGAATGGGCCCTGTTCCAGAATAACGATATAGGTTATCAACTGAGGATTCGTCAGAAAGATTAATTAGTATTATTGAACTTGTATTTGAGGGTGCATATGTCTGGTTGTTGGATATTCACACCACCTGAAACAAAATAATGAAAATACACTGTGAAGACCTGTTCTGGCTTTTCTTCTGCAACTGGACCCCTTCTCCTCACCCCACCTCCCACTCCAGGGAGTAGGCTCTCTTCACCAGAGATGGTCATTTAAATTTGGAGCAAAAGCTCCTTGCAGATTTGATGAGGTCAACCCTTACCAGATCTCAATTCTCCTGCTTCTGCATTGTTCCAGAGGCAGGTCTAACTCTCCATACAGGAGTCTCCTGCTCACTCATTCCTCAATCACACCAACAAACGGAGGGCGGCTGCCCCTCTGGCCGGTGAGATCTGGACCAGACCCAAACTTATCCATGTGGGACGAGGCCTGGACCTGCCTCTGCCTTGTCCTCTGTTGGGAGCAATTCACAACACACTTATCTCTGGGAATTCACTGCTCTGCGGGGCCTAGGTCTGATTATCTCTCTAAACCTATCATTCATAGCACAGAAGGAACATGAAGCAAAGACCTCTATATCAGTTTCTAGCATTTCATTCTCTTTACAGCTCAGATAGTATCACTGCACTGTTATCACATTGGAGGTTGGGCAAGACCCCAAAACAGTCATCACTGTGCAATGTTGATTTTCTGAGGGTGACTCACAGCCTTATTTCCAGCTGGTGGTCTGGCTCTGGCCTTTTCTTCTGACCCAGAAAACTGAGCTTCAATCTGGATACTTGGCTGTACAAGTCATTCCAGGTCAGGAACAGCTGGGAAGTTCTTTGGATTCTGTACCACAGGCCAAGGATGGCTGATGAGCTACTTCCCTTTCTCCTAAGTGTACTCTGTATGTGGCCCTCTTCTCAGGATTGGAGACGGCTGGTACACAGGAAGAAGAAAAGCAAACAGACTGGGTGAATTGGAATTTAAAAAATGCCTACTTTATCACCTACTCCATTGTGTTGCTGAAACAGAAACATCCGTTAAATATTAGATATGAGGGGCACTTGGGTGGCTTAGTCAGTTGAGCATCCAACTCTTGATCATTGATCTCAGTCATGAGATCGAGCCCCGTGACGGGCTCCACGCTGGGTGTGGAGCCCACCCACCTCCGCCCCTCCCCCACCGCTTGCACACTCTCTCTCTCTCTCCCTACAAAAAAAAAAAAAAAAAGATTTGAAAACTCATTCTCAGAAAAAGGAGTCATTAACTGTCTCTCTCCTCCTTCAGAACAAGCCCAGACAAGTAACATGATGTTAATTCTCTAATTTCTCAAATAAATTAAAGAGATCTTTTAAATAGGAGACTTCTGAAATCATCTTAAGCCTGTACCTCACTCCACAGGAAACAATTCTTTAGGTATAAAGTCAAACTGAACTGCCATTATGATTTTAAAAAATAGGGGCACCTGGGTGGCTCAGTCGTTAAGCGTCTGCCTTCGGCTCAGGTCATGATCCCAGGGTCCCAGGATCGAGCCCCACATTGGGCTTCCTGCTCAGCGGGGAGCCTGCTTCTCCCTCTCCCACTCCCCCTGCTTGTGTTGCCTCTCTCGCTGTGTCTCTCTCTGTCAAATAATAAATAAAAACCTTTAAAAAAGTAAAATAAAAAATAAAAAAAATAGGTGTAATACAATTTTCAGCTTCTGCAACACAAACTTTTCACTTGTCTAAATGATGTGTCTCTGGAACTAGACGACCTGTGTTTAAATCCTGGCTCCCAGACCTACAAGCTGGATGATCTTGGACCAGTCACTTAGCGACTCTAGGTAAAATGGGATAATGGCAATTTCTTTCTCAGAGCATTGCTGGAGTTTTTTAATGAGTTTTTAAAAGTAAAACGTGGAGGTGAGAGCTTGGGCATAGCAAGTGTCAGTAAGGGATCACTGGGCCAGTATCAGACAGGCTGGCAGGCAGTCGGGGGCTGCCCAGGCTTTGCTGTGATGATGCAATAACAAGTCCCACGCTATTTGTCTTCACTGTAGGTCAGTGCAGCTGAACGGCCAGCCCTTGGTGATGGTGGACGATGGGACCCTCCCTGAACTGAAGCCCCGCCCCCTGCGGGCCGGCCGGACATTGGTCATCCCTCCAGTCACCATGGGCTTTTATGTGGTCAAGAATGTCAACGCTTTGGCCTGTCGCTACCGATAAGCCACCCTCACACCCACAAGTCACCAGCAGGCCTGCTGGACTGCTTTTCACTCTCCTGCCCTAATAGTATCCTGATTTTTCAGACATCTTCTTAGCAACAAACCAGTCTCTGCTGCTCCATCCTGCTGGCATCAGGACTTGCTCTCCAAAGAGACAAATGCCATAGCATGAGCTTCGCCTAGGTAGGCCACATCCACCCCAAAGGAAAATGTAGACATCCCCTCTAGCTATATAAGGATGAAGGTATGTTTGTAGAGCTGCATGTATCCGTGTGCACGCACCATGAAAAGAAGCTGGCAGCGCACTCCCAGGACAGATGAAAGAGCTCTCCATGATCCGGGTCACGGAGCAATGTCACCACGGACCTCAACCTGTGACCGCTGCCCTCGGCACAAGGCGAGGAAGGGAACCACCAGGTGGGCCTTCAGGAGCCCAGCCCTATTCTAACCCCTCTCCTTGTCTGTCCCCCGCTGTTGCCCTGGGTTTCCTATCACCTCTCTTCTCCCTGGGGAGCAAGCGAGGGGGTCGGCGCCTGCCTGCTGGGTGAGCTGTTTATGTCATTTCCTGGCTGATGTATGAGTGCGCGCATCTGGGTTTCTGACAGTGGCATCAATCACTGACTATTCCTCCGGGAAACGGGTGCTTCAAAAGTAAAATTGCAATCATACTCCAGATTTTGTAAGAGGGTTCTATTCCTCCGTGAATCCAGATTCCTCTCGGGTTGGAATGGGAGTCAGGTAACAATATTCATGGGGTGGAGAACAATGTATTAGGCACCACAAAAAGTAATCATCATCCGTCATGTGGCTGGGAGGGAGAGAGTTTCAGCACAAAGAGAAAGCACACTGAGCCACCAAACGGAGACACACACACACACACACACACACACACACACACACACACACACAACTGAATAAGCAAATAATCAGACCTGCATCAAATCTGAAGGAATCTTAAGGGCTTGTAGGTCAAGCCCTTAATGGTTTGTTTGACCAAAACCATTAAAAAAAAGGTGTAAATCCACGCCATCAGTGTAAGACACAACTGAAGCTCACCGTTTCGCTTCTTCCCCAGGAGCTGGGTGCCTTAAATGCCATTTACTAGGCGGAAATCTAACCCGGTCCTGAAAGTCGACCAGGTCTGCACTATCCCAGACCAGCCAGTGTGAGCCCAGAACAAAGCTTTCCGAGCACTCCCTGGGGAGAGGGGAAATCTGGAAACTTGAGGTCTGATGGGGGAACTGTGGGGTGGTGGGTGGGAAGCCCCTGAGCCGGGCAGGGAGAAGTGGACTGATTTAAAGGTCACGATCAACCTGTAGGATTCAAGGGGCAAGATGCAAATAAGCTGCCACTGAAATAACTTTCCTGTGGGTTTGATTTTCTTTCTCAGGATAAAGGACACGAATGGCAGGGGCTAAGGACAGGGCCGGGTCTGAGGTGAGACACGGGAGGAAGTCTGGGAGACTCAGCACGGAGAACAGGGAACGGGGAGTTGGGGAGAGGGAAGCCAACAGGCTCGCTCTATGCTTGAGGAAGAGAGTGGGCTCGGTTTTGCCATGTTGGTCATCGGGTCTGGAGGTGTGTGCTACGGCCAGCAAAAAGGGGGGGGTGCGCAAGGAATGGGCGGGACCTGGTCAGTGGGCATGCTCAGCCTGGAGGCCGATGGAGAGAGGGCCATGGACTCCGGCACCGCCACGTTCAAGGCTACCCAGGCAGCCTCCTTGGGAAGCCGACATCTCCTGGTAAAGCCTCAGCCCTGCGAGGGGAGGAGCAAGAAGTGCCCAGACTGGGGTAGAAAGCAGGGAAAGAAGTGGCGGATGACAGCCCAAGTGAGGAAGAGAGAGGAAAAGAGAGACAAAGAAGTTGTCTCCCCAAACTTTAAAAAATTTGTGCAGATAGCAAAATCTCCTCTCTACACAGGTGCAGGCAGAGCTGCAGGCCCCCGATGAGAACACAAGTAAGCAGCGGTCCCCGCGGGCCTGGCCCTGGCCAGTTTGCTTCGTGTACGTAGTAGCCCCATGAAGGAGTCACTGGTTTTACCCCTGCCTTCCTATGAGGCGTGGAGAAGGTTCATAGCTTGCCCAGCGCCACCCAGGGCAGTGGGTGGCTGAGCGCAGAATTATCCAGTGTCTGTCCCTTTAACCACCAAGCCCAATGGGTGCCCACTTCACAGCCTCACCCCCTTACCTGCTACTTCAGTGAGGCCAAACCTTCAGAGCTCAAGTCAAGCACACTTTCTGTAAATAAGAGTTGATTCTTCACTAAGCTTCCAAGCCTACAGAAAATAGGCCGTTTCTGCTTCTTTTATCTTTCTCCGTGTATTAAATGGCTTAAGTTTTGTTTTTTGGTTTTTGTAGTTAATAAAAAGGGAGGAGGGAATCACTGACATTTATCTTTGGGGTCCTGCACTTTTAACTTTGCAACTGTCTCATGCAAGAAGTATTTGCATTATTCAAAGGATACTGAGAAACTCATGATAACATCACATTCTTTAGGAATTTCGGTACAGGGCACCTGTCCTGGCTTTTTCATTTTGGGATGGGGGCTAATTACTAAATCAGTAGGGATTACTTCCCATAAGGGATTCCCCTATCACACTCCCCACAAAAGACAGCCTGTGGCAAATCTCAGCCTCACAACAGGCACAGGCTGGGCCCTGGGACAAGAGTCATCCACCAGCTTCCCACATCAGATTTTTCTTCCTAAGATAAGACATGGCCGAGATCATCTAAGACTTTAGAGCCACTTTACTTTAAACTGAAGAATGGGCTTGCAGAAATGCTTATTTGAATGCATAATAAGGTATAATGAGAAGTCTGTGCCTTTTGTTGAGACGATTTTCTGTTCTTCCTGCCTCTAGGAATGATTTTCTTTCTCTTATCACAAAGGCTCAGAACAAATTCTCATTGTTACTTGAAGAAAAAGTCTCGACTCTTCTAGTGCCCTGAAAAAGCTGCAACTGTGGGATATTAGCTTATCTCCGGGTGGAGAAAAGCTTGAAAATTCCAGAACTGGGCTACAATGAGACTAAGGCCTGGGATGCCCAGAACTGCAATTCCTCATGGCCCACTCACCCTGGTAGCCCCATCCCCTCCCCAGCAGTTGGGCAGTCCCCAGGCAGATGGGCCCAAGCCTGCACCCTCCAAAATGGCAGAGGTTGTTGGTGGATTCTACGTGAAAGGCCCGCGCTGTCCCTGAGCACCAGGAGCTGCTGAGGCCTCCTGAGGTGGGGCGGGGAAGGACCCAGCAGGGCTGTGAACTGCTGAGCGGCTGGAATGGTCCTGGCCATGCCCCACTCCGGCAGGTGTGCTCCACACATGCACCCCAGGCCCATGTTTGGGAGGGATGCGGCTGCTGGATTCACCTTGGAAATCCACTGAGAGTGGCTTTATTTCTGAAAACAAAAGGGCAGTGTTTGAACTCTGCAGAAGCAGAGATGAACCAGGTGGATACCTCTGGCAATAAAGTAGACTAGCAGTTCTGATGAGTCGTGAGTAGCGCTGTGACCGACAAACCTTGGCTGTAACATTTGGAATCCAGGTTCCCCTCGGGCCCACCAGTGACCCTCTTGGCCGCTCCTCCCCTGTATTCTTCTGTACAATAATTTAAAGGACCACTCCTACCACCACCACCCACCACAGGTGATGATTCTTGATATTTCCAAGTCCTGGAGAGCCAGGCAGCACCCAAGCATGCACTGCTTCTGAGGACACTGCTCCCCCTGTCCCACCACCAAGAGATTTGGAAGTTTCTCTTTGTCTTCCAGACTAAATAATAAATCCATTAACAATTCCCAGAGGGGCGGTATTTTGCAAAGATCACTCTAAAACAAGAAAGCTAAAATACAAGAAACCAACTGCTTTGACACCTACTTCCTTCCAAACACCAGCGCAGCCCCCTGGGAGCCCTGGAAGCATTCAGGAGGAGTTGACCAAGTTCCAAATGACTGGCTCATGAATAAATCTCACTGTCCTATGCACCCAGCAGAGAAAAGCGGGCCCTTCTTTACAGCCCACAGCATGAACTTTACTCTTCTAATTATTATTCATGAAAATATCCTAGGATTCTTTTTCAGTTGTAAATGTTATGTAATAAATTATATTTTTGGAAGAAGCAAAAAGTTGGCAAAATGAGTACAGGAACACCTCCCAGGGAAAGTCTCTTCTCTGCAGGGGATTTGACCAGGTGTTAATATTTGCTTCCAAAATCAGATTATATTAAGGTTTATATGAGCTTGGCGATTGCAGAGTTAGGGCCCATGAGGTAGTTTATATTCTGAGGTAACATTCTGTAAGTAATAAAATGTGAATACTCTTAACGTTCTGTTCTCAGGGTGTTCTGCGGGGCAGGGGGGCCACTGTTGTCCACACTACACTTTGACCCAGTGAACTAACACGTGGTGGGGCCTCGTGTTGGTCTCGTGATATGCTGCCCTCTCCCTCTTCCCTCTTCCCCACAAGCTTGGCCTCCAGTAGTCTTTTTTTTTTTTTTAAAGATTTTATTTATTTATTTGACAGAGAGAGAGCACAAGTAGGCAGAGCGGCAGGCAGAGGGAGAGGGAGAAGCAGGCTTCCCGCTGAGCAGGGAGCCGGACGCGGGACTCGATCCCAGGACCCTGGGACCATGACCCGAGCCGAAGGCGGACGCTCAAAGACTGAGCCACCCAGGCGCCCCTGGCCTCCAGTATTCTAAGTGGAAATTAAATGTTATTGTTCACGTTAGATGTCATTGACTATGTTCAAGTAACTATTAACTGCCATAACAGATAAACCCCAGAATCTCAATGGCCTAATGTAATGGACGTTTTTCTTGCTAACAGGTCATGCAAAGTTCAGTTGGTGGTAGTGGGGTGAGCAGTGGTTCCATTCCCTGTAGCCCTTCAGGGACCCAGACTGGTAGGCGGTCTGCCATTTCAGCATTTGGCCTCCAAGGTTGCTATGGGCATCCACATGCAGCCGGCAGACAAGGAGAGAGAGTGTGTGCAGAACCACATGTGGTAGTTTAGGGGCCTCACCTAGAACTGGCATGAATTCCTTCCACTCAATTCCCCTGGCCATAAGTCAGTCACATGGTCCCATCTAGATGCAGGGGTTTCAGAAATGAAGTCTGTGGCTGGACAGTCACTTCTCAACAATTATATTTCATTGCTATAAATGGAATGTCTTTGATCCCCCCCGAATTCATATGTTGAAACCTAACCCTATATGTGGATTCCCAATTTGACAGTATTTGGAGGTGGGGCCTTTGGGAGTGAGGAGATCGTGAGGGCGGAGCACGATCCCTTCATGAATGGGATTATGAAAGAGCCTGCAGAGGGCTCCTTGGCCCCGTCCCCCATGTGAGGATACATCCAAAGGTTCTTATGAACAAGAAAGTGGGCTCTCATCAGACACTGAAGCTGCTGGAAACACGATCTTGGACTTCTCAGCCTCCAGAACTGTGAGGAATAAATTTCTGTTGTTTATAAGCTATTCTGTCTATGGCATTTTTATTATAGCAGCCTGAACAGACTAAGACATTCATGAAAAAGGAGCACAAAACTTTGATGGACAGCTAGGAGACCCGAAAATGTATCAATGATATTGGGTCTCTCTAGTTAATTTCACATCAAGTGAGTATTACAAACAGACCGTGTGTGGTAATATCTAAATTCAAAGGATTTTTTTTACTTACTTCAGAATGACCTAAAGGAGCTTTCTTCTGCCTCTTTCCTTTCCCTTAAGTCCCGCCACTCCTGGTACTTGGCTGAATTTTAGCAGAAAACCACCTTCGTGTTGTTCCACTGCTATCCAGTTAGGATGCATCTAGTACTGGACACTGTGCCTCTACCAGACACACCAGAAATCTAATTTAAAACATCAAATAGCAAAGTGGCTTAAGGGATCACTAGAGAATCCTAGAGGCCAACCTGGTTACATGGGTACCCGTACCTGGAGATAACACTGTTTCACTGGTTGAATCCACCTGAGGGGCGCAGAAAACTATACTTTCAGGGAATTGAAGGAGGCTGCTCTGTCCAGAGACCTTGATTCTTGTCCTGACTCTCCATCCACTTTGTGATGCTCAACAAGTCACGGAGCCTCTCTGGAGCTCAGAGTCCTCATCTGTAAAATGAGGGCTTCGGAATAAGTGAGCTCTAGGGTCACCTGAAATTCCCCACTATCTGAGCCTGTGTCAGATGGTTCATAAATACACACACACATATACAGACTTAGATATACCTTTTCGATAGGTTTCCAAGTTAGCCTTAAATTTTTTGTCACTGTTTCTACATAAATGCAACGCGCCTTTCAGGATGCATGCACACATAAGTTAACACAAACAACACAAATTTGACGATTTTTGTTTCTAGAGGTAAGGTCATGATTTTTCTTTGAGTTAATGACTTGACTCCTTCCACCCAAATTTCTTCCAAGCAGCGATTTAGTGCAAATTTAATATAAATGAAGCATGCCCCAAAGTATACTCACCTTGTTATTAGGTTTTTAAAAGAAAAAAAAAGTTGACCTCACTTTTGAGAAATTAAATTGAACTTTAAGACTTGTACATGGGATTGCTACAGCAGCATATGAAATGTAACACAGTAGAATTTTATCATGTGTACACCTGATATCCTGGAAGTCAACTATTTATAGGTGGGCTGGGCAGTGGAGGGGTGAGGAAGTTGGAGGGGCAATGACAGGAAAGATGGGGGCGGACAGCAAAAAGAATGAGTAATCCAAATAAGGCTAAGGGAGAGGCAGGAAAGAATGAGGAGCAACATAAATGGTAAATATGTGGGAAAATCTAAATAAATATAAAACAATAATAATAATGTCTTATAGAGAGAATTAAAAATGCATCACAGTAGCATACATTTTAAAAGCAGACAAAGAGAAAGTATTCTAACATCCTTCCATTTTCAAGGAAGAGGTAAAATACCAATTTATATTAAACTTTGATAAGTCGAGGATGCATGTTTTAATCTCTAGGGTAACCACTAAAAGAACGTTAAAAGAGTGTATCATTTCTGAGTGAATGCAGACAGAGGGGAGAGTGGAATCAAAATAAACAATAACTGATCTGAAAGAAAGCAAGCAAGAAAAGGAAGATAACAAAGGACAGGTGGGATGCATAGAAAGAATAATAAGTTGATAGATTTGAACACAAGTTTATCTGTAACGTTATAAATGTATATATGTGTGTATATATATAAATGTATATATAATGTTATAAATGTTATAAAATGTAAACAGAATGCCCCAATTAAAAGACAAAGATTATCGGATGAGATAAAAAGAAACAAAGCCCAATTAAATGCCATTTTAAAAGAAACATCTAAAATAAAAGGTAAGGGTGG